AGTTGGAATTGTATGAATATGGCTCTGGAATAGAGTTTCGACGGTTCCAATACCTCACTAGGGTGATTTTTATCTTAGGAGCGTGTTTGGATGTTGAATTAGAGGTCCGTAAGTCATTTTAATGTCAATCGGAGAAAGTTGGAAAATTGGATGAGTTTTGGGAAGTTTGACCAGGAGTAGACTTTTTGATATCGGGGTCGGTTTCTGATTCCTGAAGTTGGAGTAGGTCCGTAATGTCAATTATGACTTGTGTGCAAAATTTGAGGTCAATCGGACTTGATTTGATAGGTTTCGGCGTCGGATGTAGAAGTTTGAAGTTCTAAAGTTCATTAGGCTTGAATCGATGTGCAATTCGTATTTCTAGCATTGTTTGATGTGATTTAAAGGCTCGACTAAGTTCGTATGATGTTTTAGGACTTGTTGGTATGTTTGGTTGAGGTCCCAAGGGCCTCATGTGAGTTTCGGATGGTTAACGGATTAAATGTGGACTTAAGGAAAAATCTGGAAATTTTGCCTTCTGGTGCAATCGCACCTGCGGAAATTTGCTCGCAGGTGCAAGCTCGCAGAAGCGAGATGGGCATCGCAGAAGCGGCCTAGCGAGAGGCTGGGTAGTACGCGCAGGTGCGGAGCTTTTGCCGCATCTGCGAAGCCGCAGAAATGGCTTGTTGATCGTAGAAGTGGAACGCGGAAGGGCGAGCTGCTCCGCCGAAGTGAGCACGCAGAAGCGGACTTTTGTCCGTAAAAGCGTGAGAGATCTCAAAAGTGGGGGCAACCCTCGCATCTACGAGACCGCAGATGCGGCCAAGGGTTCCGCAGATGCGAAAAGCCCTGGACAGAATAAAATTGGAGGGTTGCAGGCTTTTGGCATTTTTGGACATTTCCGACACGGGTTGAGGCAATTTTTCAAAGGGATTTCACGGGAAAACTTGAGGTAAGTCACTTGTGATCATTGTTAGTCAATAATATTAAATTATCATTGAGTATTTTGACTAGATTACGTGTTTTTGAGGTGAAATTTGAGGAATTTAGGCCTAGGGATTTAAAAATAAGATTTGAGGATTCGAAAGTCGTGTTCATGTCGGAACTTGGTAATTTTGGTATGGGTAAACCCGATATCAAATGGGTGTTCGTATTTTGTGACCTTTATTCGATTCCGAGACGTGGGCTCAGGTCAACTTTTTGGGACGATTTTTTGATTCTTTGCTAAAGTTGTAGTTTCATTATGTAAATTAATTTCTTGTAGTTGTATTTATAGTATGAATTGCTTTTGGCTAGATTTGGGCTTTTCGGAGTCGGATAGTCAGGGGAAAGGCATTCTTATCGATTGATTGAGCGTGATTTGGGGTAAGTGACTTGTCTAACCTTGTATGGGGGAAATCCTCTTAGGATTTGGTACTGTTGTAACAATTTGTAATATGTGAGTGTCGTGTACGCGAGGTGACGAGTGCGTATACGGGCTAAATGTGGAAATTCCGGTTCTTGCTGAGTTGTCTTCTTTTAAATTCCTTAACTGAGTTGCCTTAGCATGTGTAGTTATCATGTCTAGCCTAGTATCACATGTCTACGTGGCTTAACTTTTTAGTTATCATGTCTAGCCTAGTATCACATGTCTACATGTCTTAACTCTTACTTGCAATTTGTGCAACATGCTTAGTTGAAGTACTTGCTTCCTTGATTTTGTATTCAGTCTTTAACTTTAGGATTCCTTGCCGTAAATTCGTTGTTCCATAAGTTATGAGTTGTGTATTTACTTTTGGGACTACGAGGTGATACCTCGGGAGCTCCCCGTTGCATATTTACTTTTGGGACTCCGAGGCGGTACCTCGGGAGCTCCCCGTTGCATATTTACTTTTGGGACTCCGAGGCGGTACCTCGGGAGCTCCCCGTTGCATATTTACTTTTGGAACTATGAGGCGGTACCTCGAAAGCTCCCTATGTTGTGTATTTACATTTGGGACTACAAGACGGTACCTCGGGAGTGCCGCTGTTGTTTACCTCTATTTGATGTGTTGTTACCTTTCTGTAATTCCTCATTGTTAGATTCTCAGTCGTTTCATTATATTATTATATCTTCTTCCTTGTTTCCTTTTTATTTCAGTAGGGCCCCGACCTGACCTCGTCACTACTCTACCGAGGTTAGGCTTGGCACTTACTGGGTACCATTGTGGTGTACTCATGCTACTCTTCTGCACATCGTTTTGTGAGGATCCAGGTTCTTCCTTCCAGGCCAGCTACCAGTGAGATAGCCTGTACGTAGAGACTTCAAGGTACATCTGCTAACGTCCGCAGACCTCGTAGTCCCCCTCTATCCTTATTATGTTATTTTCTTCCTTATTTTCCTTAGACTCTGATGTATAGAGACACTTAGTATTTCTTTTTAGAGCTTGTGACTTATTTCTACCGGGTTTTGGGAGTTGTAATTATGTTGAACCGCAGTTTTTATATATTTCATATGTTGAGGTTTGAGTTCAGTTTTATATTCTGTTATTCCACAAAATTGTTAGGCTTACCTAGTCCTTGAGACTAGGTGCCGTCACGACATTCTACGGAGGGGAATTTGGGTCGTGACACATTTGCAAGCTCCAATTCAAGAAGCAAATGTTATATAACAAGGAGAGGATTGCAATGAACATTTCAGTGGTATTATATATTACAATATAATTGTTGAAAAAACAATACCTTTCATATCATTTATAGTTTCCCAATATTTCTGATTCAAAAAACATACAATGTTATTCTTTTGTTTTTAACTTTGTAGGTGAACCAGTCGACTTCATCAATGTAGCTGACTCGGACATTGACTCTAGGCCTGGAAAAAGGACAATAACACTTGATGATTTTGAGCTGCCCGAGAACTTCTCACATATAGTTAAGTTCGGCGAGGTAAATGAAGATAAAACAACCCATGTCCATCAAGAACAAGGGTTCCTGGAAAACATACCTGATCCCCATTTCTCCCTTATTTCAGTTCTGGTGGAAGCACTTTTGCTGGAACTCCTCCAACTTCAACATCAAGCATATATTTATTGGGGTTATTAGCGACGATGTTGATCCTGATTTATTGGAAAAATTTAATAAATGGTTATATTTAGGTACCGACACGGTTTCAAAGAGGTTAGATTATACACTTCTTCGTATTATCGAGTGCAAAGAATTTATGGATTTCCAATTGCAACTACATTTTAATTGTACTTGCTATGTCTTTAAATAGGAAGAAACTATAAAAGATAACCAGCTCAACCCGTGGTTTGATCTTGGAGTGGAGAAAGTTCAAAAAAAGGACTGGTTTTATACTTTGGCACATCTCGAGCAAATTCTCAACAATACGGTACACTCATACCCAGACAGAATTTAATGATTAGCTGAAGTATTATGTTATTTTAGATATCTGTGGATTTTTTGTTTGAAAATTGTAGTTAAATTGTATGCAGCAGTGAGAAATAATGAAATCTGTTTTTTTTTCCAGCACATTGATATTATTTTATATTATTTGAGGAAGAGAGGAAAGTATGGTCCTGAAAACAGAACACGGTTTACAACCACTAGCTGTATGTTCAAGACTAGAATAGAACAAATTTATGAGAGGTACAGTAATGCCTCTGCCGATAGGAAGCTTGCTGTTGTCAAACCCCAGGACGTCGTATCAGAATAAATATTGGGGTACCGATTACTTGCAAATATTGCATGGGACAAAGTTGATTTTGTGATTATGCCCATAAACATTGTTGAGAAATTCCATTAGTTGTTGGATGTGTTTGACATCACCGATAGGGTTCTATATGTTTATGATTCTATGGTCTCTTCACAAACTTGTTGAATATGTTGTCGACAAGTTTGCTATTATGATTCTTCCTCTACTTGCCATGCACCTTCTTCTATAGCAAGCGTCCAGACATAAACTACAAGAACACAAAGGCGTACATTGAAAAAGATGTTACTCACCCTCTTGACATTCAGTGGTTGGTCGGTAAGATACCCAGTAAAAAGAGGGATCACGGTATGTGCTATTTTTCCTTCAATTTAACCAATTGTATTTTACATTGAATGCTAAATCTTTTCCACTATTATTTATTGCAGTGACTGTGGTGTATACGTGGCGGCATTTGCAGAATATGTCAGCATTGGACAGCTCTCGATTTCAAAGGAAGACCTTTCTGATATTGATCAACACCGTAGACGCTATGGAGCACTCCTTTGGGATTATGCTTGGAAAAAGTAAGAGCTTGGTGCAATTAGTGAAAGTGATATGACTGGGAGATTAGCAAGAAGAAAAGGTGCACCAGCTGTGAGGGAGAGAACACGAGTCTGGAACAAAAGGAAATAGTTGCCCTTTTCAGTAGAAAAATTGTAGTGAAAGTGTTTAGTTGTAGCTGGATTGTATTAAAGTTGTAGGAAAATTGTTTATTAAGAACAATTCAGCTAGCAGATTTGTGCTACAGTTGTTTTACCTTTTGTTTTGTTATTTGTCCAGAATTCTACTACTTACAATAGAAAACATATGTGGCATGTTGTTTTGTTGAAAGTTGTTAGTACTTGATCTCGATATTGGTACTATATAATTTCTTTACAGCATAACTACAATTATGTCTACAACTACTATACAAAAATAATGAATCTATTCAGTTTTAGCAGTGTTGTTAGGAAAAGCTTAAAACTAATAAATAAACCCAGTTTTTGAACAAAACAATGACAAGCCAATTGCATTAAGAGTTGAAATCTATTCACCAAACATTCATTATAGGAGACAATCTTTATTCAAATTAGCAACACAATTAAACCACAACTATAATTCTCCAGAACAGAACAAATACAACTGAATATGTCTTAAAGGACAGATTATCATAAACAATACTCATTAAAAAAAAATCTTTATACTATATCAATTCGTATTTCCTTTTGGGAGCATTCCTACAAGATCTTTTGTTATGCCCTTCTTATCCGCAGTTTCCACATGAAACCTTGTACTTCTTTGCATTTATTTTATCATATGGTTTGTATCTTTATTTTTGAGGTCTCCCTGGCTGCCTTTTCCCAGTAGGTGGCATTACAACTTCTTCTGCTATATATTGCGGCACATTCCATTTGCTTTTATCAGGCAACGGGTCTACTGGTATTTCATAAGTCTGCAGAAGTCTCTCCCTCGTATAATAAGGAGAACAATAGTTTTCATAAGACTCGCTCCTGTGCCTCAAAGCCGCCAAAGCATGTGGACAAGGAAGTTCATCAAGCTGGAATTGTCCATAACTACATCTCTTGTTTTGAAGGCAAACAATGAAGCGCTTCACACCATCTATCACAGTATGGATATAATTTGTTGAAGCCCTCACCTATAATTTTATTACAAACACACAACAAGTTATCAGCTACAGATAAAAGATAAAATAACTACAATTATACAACAACATATCTATAATTATCAGTATATATTTAGTTTGATGAAATAAATGATCTGATGGTATTGGCCAAAACTTACTCTCATCTTCTGCGATAATGTCCTGTTGTCCTCCAACTCTTTGTTGTATTTTTTCCCAAGGTATGTGAACTACCCTTTGCATTCAATAACTTTTCATTAGTCCAACTTTCAAGAAGAGTCCTCATGCACTCTAATAGTTCAACTATGGGAAGCTCTCTTGCATCTTTGGTTACTGCATTCAAGGACTCTGAAAAGTTTGATGCCATCGTCCATGTTCTGTTCACCGTAGCATATACCCGAGACCATCTGTGATAGTCAATATCGTATAGGAATGCTTTAACATGTGTGTCGATCTCTTCAATTGTTGACATTCTTTCATTAAATTCATCAAGCGTGTATGATTGTGCCATGGCAAAGTACAATTCGCTTAACTTTAGATGAGCCTTCTTGATCTTTGACCTTATATTTATCCAAATATGCCACATGCAAGTATAATGTGGCATGCCGGTATAAACAGTAGATGTTGCCTTCAATATACTCTCATTTCGGTCTGAAACTACACATATATTTGGTTTTTCACCATATGCATATTTGAATTTCTCAAAAAACCACCTCCATGATGCGTCATTTTCTGAATCAACAACGGCGTATGCTAGTGGTAATATGCTACTTATCACATAGGTAGCAAAAAGAAATTCAATTTCAGCAACAGAACTTGAAAATATAAAAAATACAGTCTCAGAAACATCTTTATTATAATATTTTTACCATTAATCTACATTACCTGTTACATCCATTGTGCTAGTTGTTACCATGATTCCCCTATATGGAGACTTCAAAAAGGTTCCATCGACTACTACAACTGGCCTACAATGCTCCCAACCCTTGATGGACGTATTAAGAGCAACAAATGGATACAAGAAATAGTCATCTTCAGTCTTCTACAATTTCACTATCGACCCAGGATAAGTCTTCTCCAGAATATACAAATAAATCGGCAAGTGACTGTAGGAATCAGCAGGATGACCTCTCAAAAATTCCAAAGCCTTTTCCTTTGCTCTCCAAGCTTGCATGTATGTTAAATTCACACCATGTTCTGACAACATGTCTTTTGGTGTGTATATTGTCTTAGGATCCGCATATTTTGGCATCATCATGCTGCCAACTACCATGGCAGTAGCTTTGCATTGTATATATATGTTGTCCATCAAAAAATATATGTGCAAGCTGTTGAATTTTTGAACCTTGAACAATGCTGATTCATTTATGCTGGTGGACTTCAAGTGTCACTACAATTGTCCCCAACACATACAGGCAGTAGCTATAAAATAAAAATAATTAAAAAAATATGTGCAAATTGTAGCTACATAATACAAGGTTGTTTATGCACAACAAATTGTTTTAAACAACTTATATACAATTTATATACATAAAAACTACAACTTATACACATTATTAATTTGACAAATAAAATGTTCCTACCTTCTTGTACTAGACCTTTTTACCCTAAATTGAAACTTATTCATGACAGAATAGTATTTCACTGTACAATTAATTTGCTTGTCTTGGTAAACTTGGCCTACTTCAATTACATTTGGCGTATGTTCTGTTATGATGATACTTTCATATTTTACAATTGCCAGAGATGTTGGCATATCAATCAACTTCACTATTCCTGATACTTTTCCAATTGTGTTATAATTTATTGACAATTATACCACATTAGTATTACGATAATCAGAAGTACCTGCACTCAATTAAAAGTATAGTAATTCAGACCTCTGTGTATTGAAGTGTTCAGTATTTGACAGAATACTTGTAGATACTTTGTTCTGTGATCACATTTTTATTTTTTCAAACCTTAAGTACTGTGTAACAGTTACACTTCAATTGTATTTAGAGACATAACAGTTGAACTACATTTGTTATGTAGTATAATTGTAGATAATTTATAGTAAAATTGTAGAACACTTGAAATTGAAAAACATCAGCACTGGAAAAATAAAGCAAACCTGCAATTGTGCTCGCATTCGACATACTGCATTCCAAATCAAAATCACGTACTTTTATATACATCGGATACATTCCTGAGTTTTTGTTTTCCTTTTTAGTCTCCATATACACTCGAACTCCCATACCATAGCTAATTAGTCGCCAATTTTGACATTATGTCGTGAAATTCAATTCAATTGTAGATAATTGTTTGCAATTGTTTTCTTTAGAAGCTTTTTTTTGAGTTTGTTGACTTGTTTATGGAAAATCAGAGAAAATTTGCGTAATAGAAGGATTCTACAGATATGTTGCCTTGATTATGGTGCAATGATAACCAAAAAAAATCAGTATAATAGAAGCATTCTATAGATATGTTTGCCTTGATTATGGTGCGATGATTGCGTCTAAAATTTCTAACTAAAATATAAGCTATCCCAAAATAGTGCGTCTAAATAAGGAAGTAGACTGCAGGAAGGAATCTAGTTTAAACAAATATATATTTTTTGTAGCTAAAACGTATTTAGGTCGGGTAAATTTAAAAACTGGGATATTTTTTGTAATAAGGTGTAATGACCCGACCAATCGTTTTGTAGAAATGGAAAGTTTCAAAGTTAATTAGGCTTGAATTGGGGCGTAATTCATGGTCTTAGCGTTGTTTGAGGTGATTTGAGGATTCGACTAAGTTCGTATGGTGTTTTAAGACTTGTTAGTATATTTGGTTGAGGTCCCGAGGGCCTCGGGTGAGTTTCGGATAGTTAACGGATCAAAAATTAAACTACAACAGTTGCTGTAATTTCCTTCTATTGGGACCCACAGAGGTCGCGTACTTGTTGAATTATTTGTTAATTGTTGTCTTGTACTCAGTCATGATTTTACTTGTACATCATACCTCAGTCTTTCTTGATATTTGTTGATTTACTATGTTATCTTTGTTTGGACTGATCTTTGTGATTTCCGAGAGCCCGAGAGACTAAAGAGGTTAAGGACTGAGTAAGGCCGAGGGCCTGTTGGTGAGGTAAGGATATATGGCACGTGAGTTGTCCGTGCAGGATATTATAGCACGTGAGTTATCCGTGCAACACGTGAGTTGTCCGTACAGATTATGGCGCTTGGGTTGTAGGAGCCCCTCCGGAGTCTGTACACCCCCAGTGAGCGCGGGTACCCATTGAGTGTGAGTGTTGAGGGTTGAGAGCCGAGTGGTTGAGCTGTTGTGATGAGTTGAGTGACTGTCGCCTGAGAGGCTGTACTTGTTGTGCATTTGTTATTGCACTTGATTGCTATCTGTCATTGTTGTGAAATCTCTGAAAGATTTTATATCCGGATTACATGAAATTGAACTGTATAAAATTGATTTGACTTAAACTACCAGATTTGGAAGCATGTCTATTCTTTGCTGGAATTACTGAAAATTAACTGTAACTGTGTAGCTCATCATTATCTTTAGTTCCTTAGTTATTATTATTACTTGCTGAGTTGGTTGTACTCATTCTACGCCCTGCACTTCATGTGCAGATCCAGGTATTCCCGGACATAGCGGGTGTTGATCATTTCATGCAGTTGATTTTCAAGAGATTTTGAGGTAGCTGCCGTGTTCCGCAGACCTTGTCTCTCCTTCTCTATCTCTTTGTTTACTGTACTTGGTCTCAGACTATTATAGACTATATTTTCCAGACTTGTATGCATATTAGATGCTCATGTACTCAGTGACACCAGGTTTTGGGGAGTGTTTGCATTGTATTTAAATATTATATTTTCAACCTTAAAGAGAAGTTTTGGTTTATTGAGATTATCGGCTTGCCTAGTATCGAGATAGGTGCCATCACGACAGGTTAGGATTTTGGGTCGTGATAAGTTGGTATCAGAGCCTAGGTAACATAGGTCTCACGAGTCATGAGCAGGTTTAGTAGAGTCTTGCAGATCGGTATGGAGACGTTTGTACTTATCTTTGAGAGGCTACCAAACCCTTAGGAAAATTTCACTTTCTTGTATTCTATCGTGCGGAATTAATTCAGCTTGAAACATAACTCTTTGAATTCCTTCCACGCATTTCGTATGCGCATACGAGCGCTCGGTATCAGTTATGCATCGCCAGCTTATGGTTCCATGAACGATGTTTGAGATGTGTATTCCGTGTTCTGGTGATGGGCCAGTCTGGAGGACTTGAGACCAGGTTTAGACCGCAACTTAGGCTCGGTAGCTTCAGTTGTAACATGTACATTTAATCTCATATGTCCGGTAATGTCCCTACGAGTGGAATGTGTGGCTCGATGAGCGGTGGAATGGCTCTGTGATGAGTATGATGTAACTGCGGGATGTGTTAAGATGATTTGAATGTGATGAGAAGTGTTTTCTTGAAATGTAAAGGAAGGCCATTGGGTACTTTATTTTCGTTTTGATGTGACGTACATCCTCGAGTTGTGAGTGTATTGAAGGATCTTTCACGTTGTTAAATTGTGGGGCAAATTAAATTCTCATGTCTTGTAAATGAGTTTGGACTCAAGAAGAGTAAGTGATTATGTAGTAATTATGGTTGCGAATGGGCATTTTTAATATTGATGACTCAAGAAAGATGATCTTCGAAGAGGCTTAGAGTCGGTAACATTTTATTGGTTCAGGTGCGGAAGAGATGCATTTTGATTTGATGCAACAGTCAGGCAGCAAAGTATGAGGGAAGACATGGCGGGAAGTGTTTCGTGGTGATTGAAGTACTAGCAGGTCAAGTAGGAAAAGTATAGGTTGAGAAGTAGCTTAAAGGAGATGGTTTAACTGAAGTAAGAGTGGCAGATTAGTATATGGATTCTGTGGTAGGGTAGTCGTGCGCCTTGAGAAAGTGTAGAACGGTTTGGAATCGCGATAGAATGTGATTTGCCTACGGACTTTATTTGGAGTGATGGTTATTGTACGAAGAAAGATTGAATATGGTTTGTTTGAAATGAAGAAGGATGTGAAGATCTGATTATCATTTCAGGCGCAATATGACTTGAGTTTAGAAGGTATTGTTGAACTTTCAGTTGATGTCAAAAAGGGAAAGTGCAGACTTATACAAATGGTGGGCGAGCACGAGCTCAGGAGAATTTACTGTTTACGTGGTCATTGCACCCAGTGCAGTGTCGTTGGGAGATGTCGGTAAGGAATTCCATAGGTGGGTTATCTCTTGTGAGCAGTTAGCAGTGGCGTGATGTTGATGAAGCTTCTGCGAGGAATATTACTTGCTACCAGGTAAGAGGTCGAGTGTGTGACTGTGGCTAGCGATTCAGAATATTCATAAAAAGCTTAACAAAAGACTTTGAGAAATTTAGCGGGTTAACAGTGCAAGATCTTGGTAATTGAGAAGGAGAAATCCTTACGGGTTCTAATTTTATATAATTGCAGCTTAAGGCTAAGTGGGGGAGCCTGCTATTGACAATTTGATTTCATGGTTATGTGTTAAATTTTTGTTTTGGTATGAGGCATACTTGTGGATTAGTTATGACTTGCAGAGATTGAGATCGAGGATGACTCGAGTAAAGAAATTCATGAATACAGGTTATACTGCACTTTATGAGTATATGAAAATCATGGGACGATCGAGTTGTTATTGTTGGATGTAGTACGCATGAAGTATGAATTTGAATGGTGACGTTAAGGTAGGGTTACTTATTTAAGTGTGGTCAAGCTAAGGAAGCACGTGTCTTTCGGCATGTTAGGGCGGTGCAATTTAGATTTGAGCAGAGTTGAGGACTCTTTAGAAGGTTCTAATGGATTCAAAATGTATATGTGGCAATTGAAAATGTTTCGAATTTGTATATCACAAGAATTGATTACTTACATTGGATGGTATCAGAACGTACGGTAATTCTGTATGACTATGGATTCTATATTTCAGTGTAAGAAGGGTAAGAAGAACAATTGTAAATTCACATAAGCTATTTTCAGAGTGGACGTTTTGGTTGTGTTAGTTATGGCGGTGCTTAAGAAATATATAGGAACTTATGGGCATTAAGACGAAGCGATTTTATGTTAGGACGTCTGGTAGTGAGCTTTGGGTAAGGATCGTGGAGTTCTGATAAGGAGAAGTATCAACTTGAGAATAATTCAGAAGAAACTCAAGTAAACAGGACCACTGGGTAGTAGGCTAGACCAGTATGGTAAGGGCATGTTCAGCTCTTTTGGGGTAATTATGATGTGGTGTGACTCTACA